TGTGGTTCAGAACCTCCTGAAATGTTGAAATGTTTATTTTCCTACAATTGTTTTTAGTGAAAACCACGGCGAGTGTGGTGTTAGAGTTATTAAATTGTGGAATACAAATGTTCTTGAGGTTTAGTATGTATCACATTAGCTGTGTGAGCATCTCGATGATATTAGTTGAAAGACAATAAGAAAATTATTTTTCAAATGATGGGAGAGTGAAAAAGAAGAAAGGGCTCAGCACAACAGTTATTTGCCAAGATCGGGTACATAGGAATAGTTTATGTATATATGTACACGTCGATATACAAGTAATTCGAATTGATCGTCATAGCAGTTCCATGAACAATGTGGTATTTGAGTATAATTTACATGAGAAATTGGTTCAAGTTAGTCAACGAACGTGATCACTGAAAGGCTTGAAGTGATTTAAGTTTGATCACACAAAGAATTTGATGCTGGGACGAGATACGTGTTTAGTGCTTCTTAATCATCAAATAATTGTCTAGCTAAATTCAGTTATTGAAACAGTCTGCTTACAAATTTTAACCCTGTAGTACATTTACCAACTACTAGTTCATGTGCCTGATGTTAAAACACTCTTGTGTGAGATTTCATTGTATTGCTGTCCAACTATTTGGATCAAAATAGATCGAGTGAAGTTTAAATATAAGAGCCAATAAATAGGATCACACTGTGTAATTTGCGACGTCGACTCATTTGTTCAACTTCACCTTAGATGTCTTCATGAAAATCACACTCTTCGTCCAACGTCACAGCAACCCATTAAGTCATGAATTTCTTTGGTGAAATACCATTAAAACAAAACGAAAGAGATTTCGAAATCATATGAGGTCTTATGTTACTAAATGTATATAATAATAATAATATATTCTGAAAATAATATTTACAGAATTCACACCAGTTTACAGGCATGATCAGATTGTTATAAAAAATCAACAATTAATGTAGAGAACAAACATGAAATATAAGAAAGTTTTATGTTTGATAGTTTAGTAGTTGATAAATAGTTTAAATATGGCATATATCACGGCAAGCCAATGCAACACCAGGGAACTTGTCACTTTTTTATTAAGTGGATTGCCTGATGATTGATCAACATTGTTCTGTAAGGTTATTTCCAGTGCCAGAGCGAGTTATTATTAATTATCTACAACTAGAGAAAGTAAAATTAAAGCAAAGAGCACGGAACACCAAAACAATGATAGCAAGAGGTTAAACATTTGAAGTTCCTATAATCTCACTTGTGGAGTAAGATACACTTGCAGGCGCTAGAGCATTTAATGCATTTTCAGAGGAGCAAAAAGCATTAATTGAGCGAACAAACAATGGGAGAGAGTCTAACATACGGATAGTTTGGGGTAAATTATTCCAGAGCCTAGAATACTTACAGGTCAAGTAATTCATATATAGAGAAGATCAAGAATATGTTTGTTTCGCTGAAGACAAGGAGTTACGAATGTCGTAATGTGGGGCTTTCGCAAATTGAATCGCCTGGTTGGATGTGAAGGAGAGTTTGTTAAGTATTTTGAAAAAGAAGATAAGGTTAAGTTTGAGTCTCCTCTTCCATAAAGGGTCAAGCCCTAGTTTACTACACCTCGAATTATATGTCAAGGCACAATCAGTTCCAAGAATACGAAGTGTAAATCGTCTCTGTACTGATTCCAGTCTTAATTTATCCTTTATGCGCGTGCTACTAAGGAGAAACGCGCAGTATTCGAGGAGTGGTCGAACACAAACTTTGTACATTAGAATACGAGATTCGCTGTTATGAAGGTTTCGAGTTATGTAACCTATAAGGCGTTGAGACTTGGACGTTTGTTTCATTATGTGTTCAGAAAACGACAAGTCGTCAGAGTACCTAAGTCCTACATCTACTACTGTGTGTAACCTAGATAACATTTCACCATTTATGGTAAGATTGAGGTTGACTGATGTATCACCGAAGCATAACCAACCACATTTAGCTGTATCAAGCTCCAGTTGCCATTTCAAGCACCACTGTGCTACCTTGTTAATCTCCGTGCTGATACAATTTTGAATATTGCTCAGCTCATGTGGAGAAAATGAGTACACCACCTTAAGATCGTCTGCAAACAAAATGGACTTACCCACACTAAAACATTTACAAATATCATTAATGAAAACTAAATAGAGTAAAGGACATAAGACACTACCCTGAATTACCCCACTTCTAACAGGGACTGCGTTCGACAACTAAGAGTTGATTTTAACTATTTGATGTCGATTGCTGAGGAAGGAATCAAACCAGGCTAGTAACGGGTTTTCCACCCCATAAGATGCGAGTTTACCTATGAGAAGTTGGTGGTTGACCATGTCGAAGGCCTTAGAAATGTCCAGGTATAGCACTAATACTAGATATCCTTGGCTACGAAGCGAATATGATTTGAAATCATGATGAAGACACATTGCATCCTATCCGATTTCAAATTTATGGAACATTGAAATTTTTGTCGTTGGAGGAAACATATAGTCGATGTAGTGATAGGAGATAGAGAGAAATGAAATATCGAACATGCTCAGCCTCCAAGATGTTCATTGCCTATAACACCTTTATTTCGAAATTATAATAAATATCTGTGAGTGGTTGTCTATTCAGAAATTTCATTGTATTGGAAGTGCCATACAGCACAATTCATGGCTGGCAGTTCCCTCAGGAAAATACTATACCTCGATTCAGTGTCATGCGATCATACAAACTACTTACTTACTTACTTACTTCCGCCTGTTACCCCTCGTCGAGCTGTCCATTGTATTCCGTATTTCCCTTCAGATGTCGAAGTCTTCATAATCCAGTCAATCACCAGAAGAAAGAGAAATGGGGAGAGTAGACAGCCTTGTCTGACTCCGGTCCTTACTGGAAATGCATCTGTCAGCTGTCCTCCATGCACAACTTCGCACTGTAGTCCGTCGTATGAGTTTTGGGTAATGTTGAAAATCTTTTCAGGAACTCCATAGTGTCGAAGAAGTTTCCATAATGTTCTCCTGTCCACGCTGTCAAACGCCTTTTCATAGTCAATGAAGTTGATGTATAGTGATGAGTTCCACTAAATTGATTGTTCAACGACGATCCGTAGTGTTGCAATCTGGTCTGTGCACGACCTATCCTTACAGAATCCAGCCTGTTGATCTCGAAGTTGGCGTCCACTGCGTCTTTCATCTGATTCAGCAGCACTCTGTTGAAAACGTTTCCTGGTACTGATAACAAACTGATGCCTCTGTAGTTCTTACATTTGCTCAGATCTCCTTTCTTTGGTATCTTGATGATATATCCTTCTTTTCAGTTCGTTGGCACTTGTTCCTTTTCACAAATCTACTTGAATAGAAGGTTTCAGTTTCAGTTTCAGTTTGGAAAGGACAGGAGGCTTGGTGGCCTGTGTTAGTCCTGGCAATGATGGTCTCTCAGCTGATCCAACTTTCTTTTGAAGGAGTCGACGGATGGAGCCTCAACCACGTGCTGAGGTAATGAATTCCACTCGTTGATTATTCGATGGGAAAGTCGGTAGTCAGTTGACAAGTAATTCGTTCTGGGCTTGTGAACTTTTTTGGAGTGTCCTCGTAGATTTTCTGTTTTGGAAGACAAGAAAAATGAGGGCATATCAGGTGCAAATTTGTCATTTAGCAATTTGAAAACTATAATCAAGTCACCTCTGATTCTTCTATATGACAGCGGGAATAGGTTTAGCTTGGTCAGTCTAGTACCATACGGGAGCTTCGCTATTCCGGGAATCAGCCTAGTTGCTGTTCTCTGAACTCTTTCCAAGAGGTCACTGCCTTTTTTTAGGCAGGGGTTAGCTGCTTGTATACAGTACTCAAGTTTAGGGCGTACGAACACTGTATACAAAGTCAGAAACGTTTTAGCGTCAAGATGCCTAAAAGCCCTGCGTATGGACCATAAAGTCCTAAAACCTTTGGCGGCTATTGCACGGCAGTGTGCAGTAGTCTTTAAGTCTTGACTAACGATGACGCCTAAGTCATTGTGTGCCTGAACAATAGGTAACTCAGTGTTATTCATCGTGTATGTATCTGTACCCTGATGGCCAATATGCATCACAATACACTTGGAAGTGTTTATCGGCAATTGCCAGGTTTGGGACCATTCAGATAATCTCTCCAGGTCATTTTGAAGTTCTAAGCTATCGCTCTTGCTTTGTATCGCTCTCCATATCTTGACATCATCAGCATAGAGTAAGACCGATGACGATAGTAGACGAGGGAGATCATTTACGCACAGGAGGAATAACACTGGCCCTAAAACTGTACCTTGGGGACAGTTTGACATTGCTGATGACATTGCAAGGTGACACATGTTTGCAGTTACTTCAATGTCTTGTGGAGATAGAACCTTAAAACCTATTTTGTAAATAATCTTTCATAGTTTTCGCATGTATTTTCATATTCTGTACATTAAGCATTCAACAATTGTACTTGTTGTTTAACTGTATTACTTTGAACGCTTGTAACTCGACTTCCTTCCGTTTCTGAGTACAACATATCGTGACACTGTTACTGCTTCTCAATAAATACACTCTAATTCACATCTGCATCGTTCTGCCATGTCTGCTAATATGTTGAATGAAATATTAATTGCATACCATCTACGTTTATAGACAACTGCGACATTCTTATTGAATTCTACGCTTGGTAAACCTACTGGATCTATATCGTCCATATTGGGATTACTAATTTTTTATAATTGTGGATTATTTGGACCAAACCCAGCCGAACACGCAATAGCCTGAAGACTTAAGTAACGTCCCTTATTTTGTTATTTGTGTGTGTAATTAACTTATTAACTGTTAATTGTTACATAAACTATAGACATAATATTTTTGTTGCTAATTTTTTGGTTATCATACATTTTGGTCCACCACTATTTAGTGAGCCCAGTATTTTATTATCTCGCATTTATACCATTGTTATATTGTTTATTCGCTTATTACATGATACTCTAGCTCATTTTTAACCTAATGTATTCTTCACCTAAGCTTAGTGATTTGGATCCTGTTCCAATAACCACTCGTAGTTCATCACCTAACTTTACTGACAGTATTTTTAGTCCGCACTATATAAATACGATGCAGCCGTATGGAGCAGCTGATGTCAGTTACTTAAACTCTATTCAAAGACAATTATCTCAATTGACGAATCAACTTGAGTCCCTTCAAACCACTGTAGCAACGGTTCAGGCCAGACAAATAGGACCCCCTTTTAGACAGAGATCACGTTCTAGACCACGATCTCGTTCACCTAAACGACCATCCGAAATTTGTTGGTTTCATACTAAATTCGGCACAAAAGCACGGCGTTGTACACGCCCGTGTGCATTCCCCTTACCCAGCACTGATAACCAGGGAAACGGTCCGGCCAGGCAGTAATGGCGGCGCCTGACTCTGGCCACAACTCAAGCCGTCTATTTCATGTCAGGGATCGTATTTCGGGCTCCGATTTTCTAATCGATACTGGAGCCGAAATAAGCATACTCCCACTTCATCTATCCCGACGACGGCACTCCCAACACGCTAAATTATCATTAGTGGCAGCAAACAATTCTATTATTAAAACGTATGGCGAGCAATCACTCATCTTAGACATCGGTCTCCGTAGACGTTTTACATGGGTTTTCATCGTCGCAGAAGTTAAACAACCAATCCTTGGAGCCGATTTTCTTAGTAACTACAATCTCCTTGTCGACATGAGAAAAAAGAAACTTATCGACGTGAATACAAGTCTACAGGTCAACGGAACAATCACCTGCAATTATGAAACTTATGGTGTCCGATTGCTTAGACCTGATAGTCAAACTTTTGCCGATCTTCTATCGAAGTATGAATGCATAACAAAAGCCGATTATCAAACTGAAAACTCCACACACCATGTTCAACATACTATAACCACCACTGGTCCACCTATCTGCGCCAAGGCGAGGAGACTACCACCCAATAAGTTGCAGTCCGCTAAAAGAGAATTTGAACATATGATGCAACTAGGGATAATCCGACAGTCTAATAGCCCTTCGGCCTCGCCACTGCACATGGTTCCTAAAAAAGATCAAGATTGGCGCCCTTGTGGAGATTATAGGCGTCTGAATAATCAGACAGTTCCAGACAGATACCCCATTCCTCATCTACATGATTTTTCACTGAACCTGCACGGTAAACTGATCTTTTCAAAACTAGACTTAGTTAGAGCTTATCATCAGATCCCAGTGGCACCTGAGGATATTGAAAAAACAGCTGTAATCACACCTTTTGGGTTTTTTGAATTCTTGAGGATGCCATTTGGGCTTAAGAATGCTGCGCAAACATTCCAACTATTTATGGACGAAGTCACGCGAGGTTTAGATTTCGTATTTGTTTACATCGATGACGTGTTAATTGCCAGCTCCTCACTTGAAGAGCATGTCCATCATCTGCAGATTCTCTTTGAACGATCCAAGAAATATGGCGTAGTTATCAACCCTAATAAATGCATATTCGGTACGTCTGCCTTAGAATTCTTAGGACACTATATTGATGCACAAGGTATTAAACCTCTACCAAAGAGAGTTGAAGCCGTCATCAACTATCCTGAACCCACTTCGGTTAAGTCATTACGTCGCTTCCTGGGTGCATTCAATTTTTACCGTCGATTTTTACCTAACTGTGCCGACGTTCTACAACCGTTAACTGACTTACTAAAAAACGATAAATCAGGTAGCAAAAAGGAAAAGAATCAACCATTCAAGTTACCTTCCGATGCCAAAACGGCATTTGAAAAAGCCAAATCTTTGATTGCTGACGCCACCATGCTACAACATCTAAATACTGACCCCAAAACTCATCTGATCCTCTGTACGGACGCATCACAAAAAGCCGTAGGAGCAGTATTACAACAACGAGTAAACAATACGATTACACCCATTGCTTTCTTCTCTAAAAGGTTATCACCTGTACAAGAGCGTTATAGTACATTCGGTCGTTAACTCTTAGCCATGTATTTAGCCGTTAAACACTTCAACTTTTTGCTACAGGGCCGGGATTTTACCATCATGACGGATCACAAACCCCTGTGTTACTCCTTTAGTATGTCGTATGACAGACATTCACCACGCGAAGCAAGACAGCTTGATTACATCTCACAATTCACCACAGACATTCAGTTTATCAAAGGTCACTCCAACATTGTAGCAGATGCGTTATCGAGAAAAGACATCAATGTAGTTGCATCCAACCATGACGTCAACCTAGAAATAACCGCAAAACTTCAAGCAGACGATGCAGAGTTAAAAACCTGCAAAGAAAAGTCTCGCCTGAATCTCCAACCTGTACCCATCCCATTCTCCGACGCATCCATCATCTGTGACACATCAACAGGTAACAATCGTCCCTTTGTTCCACTTGCGTGTCGCCAAAAGTTATTCCAACACTTACATGGTTTATCACATCCGGGCATCCGAGCTACTACAAAGCTGATAACTGAACGTTTTGTTTGGCCGAAAATCAATTCAGATATTAAACGATGGACACGTGGTTGCCTTCAGTGTCAACGTAGTAAGATCCAAAAGCATACTATCAGTCCAATCGGAGAATTTCCTATTCCTGATAGACGTTTTCAGCATATCCATTTAGATTTAGTAGGACCTCTACCTTCGTCAAATTCTTTTACTCACATCCTCACGGCAATAGACAGATTCACTCGATGGGCCATTGCATGCCCCATCAAAGACACATCAGCTGAGACTGTAGCATCCGTTTTTCTAGACCGATGGATATCGCACTACGGTGTACCGACAACCATCACATCTGATCGTGGTCCTCAGTTCCAGTCTATCCTGTTTCAGGAATTCACAAGACTTCTGGGCGTAAAACACATCAGAACCACAGCTTACCACCCAGCAGCAAACGGCATGGTTGAAAGATTTCACCGGCAATTAAAAAGCTCACTCATGGCTCAAACTGATTCAACAAAATGGAGTGATGCCTTGCCGCTTGTTCTCCTTGGGATTCGTGCCACGGTTGTACACCCGCCGAGTTAGTCTATGGTACAACTCTAACGTTACCGGGCCAACTAGTCAACTGTGAACCTACAACGCAAGAAGATGCTACTCATTTCGCAAGTTGCCTATTACAAGTGATGCAGAACATTAGAGCAATACCACCGCGAGAATACAACAATCCAGTCCATCTCGACAAACATTTAGAAACGTGCAAATTTGTTTTTGTTCGAGTAGACGCGGTGAAAAAGCCACTGACACCACCATATGAAGGTCCGTATAAAGTAATAAAACGCACTTGCAAATATTTCATTATCAACAAAAACGGGAACAATGAAACAATTTCCATAGACCGAATAAAACCAGCTTTCTACGAACCCCCTCAAGCCACTGATGACAATACGGCGAACAAACAATCACTCTCATCAATTGCTAAGAAACAAGAGGAAGAGGAAAAACTCAGCACTACACCCTCTTGTTTAACACGATCTGGGAAACTTATTAAAAAACCCAAACGTTATGTACATTTTATGGACTAACACAATCAATCAATTGTATGCATTACTTTGTGAAGTTACGCAATCTTCTAATAAAAGATATTTATTTTCCCTACATGTACATTTAATAACTACATTTATTTGTTATCACTGGTTTTGCCAATTTTTTTTAATAAGAAAAAATTGTCATAGTAATAAACGAGTGAATGCTAACTAACTATTTATTAAATTCATCCATTTTTTTATTTTTTATTTTATGACTCTATTAACAGTTTTGCACATTTTATTATTATTATTAGCAAACTGAAACTTTGTAATGTTTGTTCTTCAGTTTAAATTGCGTAGCATAGCGTATATTATTAACGTGCCATTTATTCCTATTTCCATTTTTTTTCCGTTATTACAGTAAATACTATTTTATGTACATTTATACACAATATTTCTCAATTTTTGTTGTTCATATTGTAATCAGTGTTAACTCCGGACACTCTGGGGGGAGCTATGTGGAGATAGAACCTTAAAACCTATTTTGTAAATAATTTTTCATAGTTTTCGCATGTATTTTCATATTCTGTACATTAAGCATTCAACAATTGTACTTGTTGTTTAACTGTATTACTTTGAACGCTTGTAACTCGACTTCCTTCCGTTTCTGAGTACAACATATCGTGACACTGTTACTGCTTCTCAATAAATACACTCTAATTCACATCTGCATCGTTCTGCCATGTCTGCTAATATGTTGAATGAAATATTAATTGCATACCATCTACGTTTATAGACAACTGCGACATTCTTATTGAATTCTAAGCTTGGTAAACCTACTGGATCTATATCGTCCATATTGGGATTACTAATTTTTTATAATTGTGGATTATTTGGACCAAACCCAGCCGAACACGCAATAGCCTGAAGACTTAAGTAACGTCCCTTATTTTGTTATTTGTGTGTGTAATTAACTTATTAACTGTTAATTGTTACATAAACTATAGACATAATATTTTTGTTGCTAATTTTTTGGTTATCATACATTTCGGTCCACCACAGTCTGACTACAGTGCTCCAGCTGGTATATTGTCATGCCGCCTTTTCACTCTTGATTTAACTGATGGTCATCTTGACTTCTTCGACCGTCGGTGAAGTGACAGCTAATAGAAGGTCTGTGTGTTCTGCTTCGATGTTCTGTGGGTTCAATGGAGCTGGTCTATTCAGCAATTCTTCGAAGTATTCTGCCCATCTTTCATTTGTTCTTCAATATCCGTGATTGTGTTTCCTTCTTAGTCCTTGACTAGTCTCTCGGGTTTACTATGTCTTCCTGCCAATTTCTTCGTTTTATCATATAGTTGTCTCATATTCCCTTCTCCTGCAGCTTTTTCCGCCGTCGTTGCTAGTTCTCTCTCATATAAACTAAGTCTTTCATTATAATCAGCAATAATTAAAGTAGTTGTTGTTCCTGTTGTTGAAGTTATTTATGCAGAACAAAAATGTTGAATAAAAACATTCCACTATTAACATTCCATGTACATTTTTACTAACAAATTGTTGAGTGAAACGGACGAACGGAACACCAATCAGATGATTTCATCCAACTAGTTACACAAATTTCATTACATCTCATAGGTCGGTATCAGTATATAAAGATGAGGTGTACTTATGTGATCAAGCATTCACTACATTTCAAGTTTACTTCGTTGTAAAAACAAAATGCGTTTATCAATACTGTGCTTGATCTTATGCCTCACAGTCTTCGTCCCATTCATTCACGCATATAAACGTACGTTCTAAATATTCCTGAGATATATATTATATTGTGTATTGCTCTTGCTGTTAAGAAAGTGATATTTCAGGATGAATCATGTTTGTGATTGATGAATAAGACTCAGAGGGATTTAGCTGAGTAATTTAT